GAATTGAGATACCTTAGGCTATTCAACCACCCCATCTTACTTTTAAGTCACTTAATAATCCTAAGTGAGAGAAGCAAACACAAAAAGTCATACATGATCCATTGGCATATGTGAATGGGTAGAAGAAGCAAATCCACAGAAACAAAAGAGTGATGACCAGTTGTCTGAGGACAAGAAATTGATTGACAGCAAATGAACTGAGGAAGCCTCAGGGAGTGATAGAAATGCACTAAAATCAGATTGTGGTAATAGTTGCACAAGTTTATAAATTTACTAAAGTAATAGTAATATACACTTAAAACGAGTGCATCTTATTTTATGTAAATTATATTCCAAAAAACTCAAGAAATATTTTGAGGTAAAACTACATAATCCGTATATTTAGTTACATTATTTAAATATAGCAGAAATATATCCAAGCTACAAAAAGTAAATTTCATTAATGGCTACCCTGTTTAAATTTTAAAAAGCAATTATGTTTTAAAATATAAAAATAATGTAGTTAAAACAAGTAAATAAAGTCCAAAATGTACAATAGATATAGTGAATTGGGAAGGAGCTATTCAAAAGGAAAAATAAATTGTGATGGGAGAAATGGAAAAGGAAGGAAGATAAAAGAAAAAACATATTTATACACAAGGTAGTTAAGATAATTATATACCTAGTTTCTCTTAGTTCATTAAAATGAAAGGTTTGTGCTAATATTAGCTGAATAACTACTATGAAGATAACAATTTGCAATGTATTACTTATTGTAACACTCCTACTAATCTGTTTTAAAACTCTGTTTTAGGGGGCTGGGGATTTAGCTCAGCGGCAAAGCACCTGCCTGGCAAGCACAAGGTTGTGAGTTTGGTTCCCGGTACCGGAGAAAAACCAAAAAAATAAAAAAATAAAAAATAAAACTCTGTTTTATTGTCATTTTTTTCACTTTAAAATAAAAAAAAGAAGAAAAGAATGCAGTTAATCTTGAAAATGCATGGGAAAATATAATGAATGTTTTACCAGGTGAGACTGGAGTTACCTTGAAAGGAACTTTTCACTTCTTACTTTATGCATTTTTGTACCATCAAAAATTTTCATAAGCAAGCATGCCTTTTATTTAAAAATATATGAATTATCTTCAGTGTCTCTGCTTTCCTTTGGGTTTCAAATATGCTCATCACCAAGCTGTCAGAATATAAATTATTCATGAGCAAATATTTCAGTTCCAGAATAAAAAAGTAAAGTATTGTCTGGTTCTGGAAATAAGTTATTAAGGGTTTTAAACAGTATCTTTTGACAAATGCTCTAGAACAATGTTTTACAGTGCGTATATTCTGTTGATAATATGAAGGTGATTTTAGGTCAGGGGTTGGCAAACTTTTCCTTAAAAAGCCAAATAATAACCATGGCCGTGTTTGCAAACTATATTGTCTCTGTCTCAACAACTCTGACATAGCGTGAAAGTAGCCACAAAGAATAAATAACAGAATGGCTTGGCTATTTGTCAACTGCCGTATTAGATAATGGAATAAAATTTTCTTTAATATTTGCAATATTTTCCTAGCAATAAATCATGAGAGGAAAAACAAAAACAACCTCTCCAAACTAAGCAATTCTTCCCGGTTATCTAATTCAGCATTTGAGACAAAGCTCCTTGAAGGAAATACCAAACTTTAGACCAATAATCTCCAAAAGGAATCATCCTTGATATTCACTATATTGTAGAAGCTACAGACCTGCTCCCTAGAAAATACATACCTAAGCCTGTGCTCCCTGAGTGCATTTCTACCTGGAGGCCTCAAAGTAGTGACAGAAAGTTCAGATACAAGGGAAGCATTCGAATGCTTTTTCCAGTCATTATGGCCTCTGCTCAGCACCAAACTCAGCAAGGGAAACCAGCAGCCCTCCTTGAATAATAGTTATGATAATACAGAAAACTAGCAGTGTCCAAAGAATGGGGGTTGCTGCTGGGCATGGACTCCTTTCAGCTAAGTGTATCACTGCTGTGTTTTGATCGAAATGTCCCCCAAGTCCATGTACTAAAGGCGTGGTCACCAGCCCTGGCAGTATTCAGGGGAGGTAGAACCTTAAAGGTCACGCGTCCTTGAAAGGAAGTTAAATCATCGAAGGAAGGCCCTTGGAGGAGATCTGGGGATCCCAGCATTTCTTGCTTTTCTTGTTTCCCAGACAGGAAGTGAGCAGCTATGCTGCATCATACAGTCCCACTATGATGTTCTGCACCATCACGAGGCCAGAAACCATGGAGCCAGCCAACTATGGACAGAAACATCCAAAGCCATGAACCGTAATAAATTTTTCCACCTTGTACGTTGATTAGCTCAGGTATTTTGTCACAGCAATGGATAGCTGACTAACACAGCAACCAGTCAGGTCTGAAAAACAAAAAGCAGACTTGCTCCATATATATATACCATATTACAGCCATCAGTTCCAAAAAGATAGCTTAATGATCACAGGATATTTTCTACTTTGTAAAATTAGAAGTAAGAAAGGACAGGAGACCAGGTAGAAGGTAGGGAAAAAAAGGGGGCAGCTCTGTATATGCTAGATACTCTACACAGGATGGTATTTTAAAATTTATTATGATTTTACTTGTATATAATTATGGGAAACAGAGTTATAATTGATGTCTGTGTACAATGTCTAATAACGAAATCAGGGTTGTTAGTGTTGTCATCTCCTTAACCATTCTTTAAAATTTTCAGTTTACATAATAATTTTACATATTTATGAGGTACAGTGTGATCTTTCAATACATGAACACAATGTGTACTGATCAACTTGGGATAACTAACCTTTCTACCTCCTTATCATTATTTTGTGACTGGAGGCTCTGAGCTATTTAATGTATACAACAAATCCACGAGGTATATAAAATCATCTCCGTTTTAGAGAAGAGGAAATGGAAATGTGTCTAAGTTTCCTGAGTCTCCTCGAGATGACGTCTTCATGAGAGTAACTCTGAACAGCAGACCCTGACTGCGAGTATGTGTGACTGCGTGTTTCCCGGCCAGCTCTGGTCATGCTGCAAATCACTGTGCCAGACACTGGTGAGGCTACCTATACAGATCTACTAAGACAAACTTCCTGGCTTCTCAGCGAAAAACTCTGAGGAGAAATTTTTAGGAGAAGCACCTCTACTAACTCCAGTTCTCAACTTTCCTATTTCAAATTTTAAGGCACAATTAGGAGACTTGTAAACAATTAAAACATTAGGAATTATCTTTCATTTTTATACAGAATATTTATACAGGATATTTTCAGTGACTAAAATATTAATATCTACTTTCTATGACATTGACCTTCAAGTGTCACTGTATTTAAGTAACCCAAATGTTAATCACAAGGTTGTTTAGAACAAAACATAGCTAGAGAAAATCAGGACTGGTTAATTTTTAAGATTATTGAATGACACCTTGACCCATATCCATTCCCACATTGTGTACAGACCAAATCTCATCCCTCTACCTTCCCTCTTCCTTCCATGTGGAGGTCAGTTCCTTTCACTCAAACAGCTTTTGTTTAAAACAAACACCATTACATCATGCAAGCCGAACCGTGGAACAATTAAATGAATTATAGTTTTCATTACAAGCATCTTTATATGGTGTGATCAAAAATACTAAGTGTGTTTGAATGAATGCTGCTACCAAGTACCATCTGATGGAAAAGCAGGCTAGTAGAAACCCTGAGAAAAATAAACCTAAAGGAAGAAAAGTTTATTTTGGTTTCAGGGGCTTTAGGCCAAACCAGCTGGTTTCATGGCTTTGGGCCTGTGGTGAGGCAGGAGCATGAGGTAGAGCAAAGCATTTTGTCACAGCAACAGAGAGCTGACTAATATAGTGAGTATAAGTGGAGAAGATTGACCCCAGTGCTAGAAATGCAAGCAAAGATATTATTGGAAGAGACAAATAGGTCACAGATGAACAGTCAGTAGAGTCAGGGCTAGGACTGAAAAGAGTACCTCATGAACAATCAAGAAAATTTCCTCATCTTGAAAAAATACTGTGAAGTAAGTAGTTGAAAGATCACGCTGAGCTCATCTATGTGGGATAATTAAAAAAGGGTCTCTTCACTCACTGTATGAGCTTTCTCTAGCTTTCACCCCATGAATAGTTCCCATGGGAAATCCTGTGAGCAGTACATCTCCTATTCCTTCATGGGATGATAATCTAATTAAGGTAACAAATACACACATAGAATGATGCTTTAGTGGCAGAAAACTTGAGACACAGGCTTAGTTATGTTACTTACAAATTGTGTGATTTTAGACAAGTTAGCAAATCAGAGTCTCAAGTCTAGAATCACTACAAAGTACAATAATATTACATATTTCACAGGTTTGCTATAAAGATGAAATAATACAAGTAAAGCCCAAGGACTCAGAAATGTTAGCTTTTACAAAAACATTATTAACATGATTAATGTTACAGTAAATGAGCAGATATTTTAAAAAGCAAGCAATCACCTGAGTGTGGTGATGCATGCCAGGAATCTTAGCACTTGAGATCAAGGCAGGGGGATCATGAATTCAAGGCCAGCCAGTATTGCATGGTGAGTTCATGGCTAGCATGGACTACATAGACAAATCCTGTCTCCAAAAGATTTAGCAGTAATGCTGATGTTTAAATTAAAACTTAAAATATACATACAAACATTTATATGTGATAGTGAGAACTGAAAGGAGAAAAGCCAAGAAAATTACAATTTATTCAGAAGGTAATGAGGAGAAAATTTTCATGCAGAGAAGAATTTATGCAAAAAAGAGAAGAGAAGTAGGGTCTGGAAGGTACGTTGGTGCTGGATTGCAAAAGACTTCTGGGGCCAAGCAAACAATTTGAGCTTTTTCCTGTGTGTGATGGGAGCCACCGAGTGGTTCTGGTCATCAGCACACAGTTATCAAAGCAGCATCATAAGAAAAATTAGGAAGAGGGAGACAAGTTGGATGAGTGGTTGGAACATGTCTTTCCTTCTCCAGCAAGAAGGACACACCCTGGATCCTGGAAGAGCAGAAACATGGAGACAGGAACGTTTTGGAGGGTAAGTAAACAAGCTATGGTTACTGGACTCCAGGATTAGTCCCAGTTCTAATCTTAAAAACATTGTCAAGTCACGTTTTCCCAGGGAGTAATTAATTCTGAAACCAAGTTCTGAAGTTCCAGTGATTCACTGATTCTTGTAGGTATTTTAACTGAGTACTTTGCTATAAGCATTAAATGACTGGGGCTCACAGTAAAGTAGACATGGATTTGGTAATCAACGTTCATAGCAGCATTACTCATATTACCTAAAAAGTGGAAGTACCCAAATATCCACCAAGATATGGATGGTTAAGATAGATGGATGGATAGATAGATGGATGGATGGACGAACAGACAGACAGACATGCAGATAGAAAGACAGATGATAGATAGATAGACAGACAGATAGATAATTTCATATTTAAAAGGGAATGGAATTCTCACATATGCTACAACTTGAATGAACCTTGGAAACATCATGCTAAGTGGGATAAGGGAGATACAAAAGGGCAGATCTATGATTCTATGTAAATGAGGTCTGTGGACTAGTCAAGTTCAGAGAGGCAGAAAGTAGAATAACAGTTGCCATGCATTGGGGGTATGAAGGAGCGAGGTACTGCTTCATGGGTACAGGGTTTCAGTTTGGGATGATGAACACACAAATTGTAGAGATAAATGCTGGCCTTGACTATATAATAATATGAATATACTTGATACCACTAAACTGCACACTTCAAACGAGTTAAAATGGTAAATTTTATGTTATGTGTATTTTACCACAATAACAAAATAAGCATCTGGTGCACTGACAAACACGCTCAGTCACAATGAGAGAAGGGTAAGGCTTGCCGATCCGCTTAGCTTAGCTGGCCGGCCGAGTGAGAGCGCATCCCTCAGGTCAGATCCAGCCACTGGTTTGTCCACTTGGAGAAAGGAAGGGGAAAACGTGCCAGCTATCATCTACATGAACGCCATAACGGCAGCACAATGGCTTATGCCTCCCTGTTTTACGTCTGCCCAGGTCTGACATTAAAGGAGAAGAGAAAGTCACTTCTCGAGACAAAGCAATCCCTCACCTTGGTTTTTCCACTTGATGCTGAAACACCTTGAGGAAATGAGGAGCCTGGCTCTGTGTCCTTGAACAGAGTCACTGAGATGTGAGGATCTGGAATTACTTAGTGTACTTCTATCAATAAACAATTTCCCCAGGGGATAGTATACTCAGCACTATACTAGTTGGAATGTGAATATAAAAATATAAGACACGGTCTCTGCCTTTTAAGCTCATTTAATCTACTTGAGAGGACAAAATTTTATAATGATATAATAATGAGCAATATGAGACGGAATATAATTAGGTGCTAAATTGTGTAATTATACACAGTGTAGTCTTATATTAAGATTATAAGTACTCCAGGAGGTCATAAAAATGCCTAATATCATGTAGAAATGAATAATGAGTCAGGAGGTCTTCGCTGGCTGTGCACTTACAGGAGCAAGCTGGGAGCCTATAAAGTAGACTGAAGACTTTTTAAAAGATCCATTATGTTTTAATTTTATGTGTAATATATATTCTCTACCAAACAGTCTCTCTCTTAATATGCTTCCCAGTTGCTCTTTCTCAGTCATGTTACAAACAAATAGAAAATGCCTCAAAGGAAATAAGTAAATGTGCCAACAACCATGTGAAAGATTGTGTACATTACTTTAAAACAGAAGTACTCACTGAAAATTAGTGAAGTCAACCTTCATAGAAGTAAAGCTTTAATTTGAAGCCAGATACATTCAGACTCAGCCAAGAAAAAACTAGCTATCCCGATTCCCCCTCCTTTCTACATAAGGGTTGATGAAATCCAAGGAAAACTTATTCATTTAGTATCAGAATTCAGATCATTTGCTTTCAAATTGGAATTTCACATCCCTTTCTGTGGTGTAGACCAAAGCAAACTTGGATCTTGTTTCTATAAAACTCACACTGTGAGTACGCATACCTGTTTGTCCTGGCCAACCTCAAACAGTCAAAGATATATGACCATGTAGTTATGAAGAAATTAGGCATAAATTTCTATTTCCCTGACAGCGACTCACTCTCACCTCTCTCTTCCGTCACCCTTCCACCCCAACTGGCTATTGGACGATATTCAACTATCGACCACATTCGGTTCTATCAAAACTCAATCAACAGAGTGGAACTCGATGTTTCTCAAACAACTCTGGGCTCTTATCATACTGGCAAGGCCTGGTGCTATTTTGGGTAATGTACTGCTGCACAGAAAACCCAGTACTTAGTGGTTTAAAACAAACATTTGATTCGGCTCATGATTTTGTGGATCAGGTGTTCAGAAGCCCAGCTGGGTGGATCATCCCTGATGCACTCATTGGCTGAGGCCAGGAGACTGACATTCAAGATGGCTTCCTCCGGCTAAGCCTCTAAAATGGCGACCTTCTTTGGAAATACGGCCTTCACAGATGTACCAGGTTAACATGGGGTTCCACTGGATGAGATCAGGTACTAATCCAATGAGTTGTGTCTTTATGAGAAAAGGGAAAGAGATAGTGATCTGGATACAGAAACATAAGGAAAGAAGGGTGTGTGAAAAATGAGCAGAGCTGCAGTGCTGAAAGAGGCAAAGAATGACAAAGATTGCCATGAACCTCAAGCTAGGAAAAGACAAAGGAGGGAATCACCCTTTATTTATGCAGAAATATTTTAGGGAAAATAATGAATAACTACAACCTTCTTTGCCCTTTTCTTCAGTGTCAGAAGCAAGGCAAAGCACAGCAGCACACACCCGTGTAAACTGAGACTGAGTTGTAATTGGCTTTTCATAGTACACTGGTAGCTGGGGCTACTTATCTCACATGCTGACTCAGAGCGCACCTGATTTCAAAAGAGCTTCAGGCACTTGAAAACTGAAAAGAAAAAAGGGCCAAAAGATACAAGTTTCTCAGTAGCCGCTGAGCAAAATGATTCTTTCACTGTCACATTCTTTGTTCCTCCAAAGGAGGGACGGTTTAGCAAGATAGCAATTTAGAGAATGCATCACCCAAAGCCATAGATGTTCTTCCTCGGCTATATGCATCTTACTGTCAGAAATTATATGAATTACAGTGGATTTACTTAGCTGAACCAAAAACTACCCCCAAATGGTAATTAAATAGGTTAGAGTTCTAGAAAATATGCCTTCATCATTATCCCCATTTTGATAGTTGGGAAGAGTGTATAATGAGCCTCTCAAGAAATTATTAAGGTCATCTATCTTTTTCCAAAAGAAAAAATCTTATAGGATAATATGTGCAAAATAAGTTTAATTTTGTAAATAACAGCACAGACCAGGCATCTTATGATACACATCAGTCAGATGACTTTGACTATAATTGTGCCACAGATATGAAGGACAGTTTCTGGTGTACAGGAAATGATTATTCCGCAGTGGTTGCTCTCACCCAGAGCCCTGGATTTCCTGGTGGGGACCACACCATTAAAGATCAGTAAATGCCCTGACAGGTATTCAGGGGCATGAGAAAGTTAGAGTAGAGGCTTCAAGAGCAGCAAAGCATGCAGAGATACTAAACTTGAAAAACAGAAGTTTCATTAGAAGCTCCACTACTTTAATATACAACAAAGACTTTTCCAGTAAAGAAGCACACTGCCTTCCTTGTGCCTCCAAAAGAAAGCTAAATCAGTAAATGGAAGTTGTAGGAAGGCAAATATTGAATTCTCATGAGAAAGATTTCTAAAAAAGTGAAGTGAGCAACTGTGAATTATCCCTGGAAATGTTCATGCAAAGAGTTGCAACTTCTCAATAAGTATGTTTTATGTATCTGTAGCCCTAGTACATATCACGGTTTCTACCACACAATAACTGAACAATAAGTGGCTGAGAAATTCAGGAAAATGCAAGCGTCTAATGGTAGTTTAGATAAATGGTCCCTTCCAAACCTAGGATTACAGTATTTTGGGATACTGCAAAGAAGCTAGGATGTAAGTCACTAATTTTCCCTTTCAGTATATCTCACAGTCATGCTTTTCTTTACCCCTTAGCAAAATAAACCTAACCACTTTGTTAGGAGCATTTTAGGTATCATTATGCAAAAATTAACTGTAAAATGTGAAGCAACAGCCTTCAAAGGCACATATTTACGCACACGTTATTGATCTCTCTAAAATTCCCCTTGCTTAAGGCAAAAATGAGCTGCAATTCATCAAACCTTTTTCAAGTGACATTGCTCTCACTGCTTTCATGTCCATTCAAGAGTATTTCTGAGTACTGACCATAGGCCGGGCGTATCTACTACTTAACCAGTTTAGTACAGTCGGCATTAATAGCTCACATTAAGGCGCAGAGATACTGATACTGCGCATGCACAAAGGCCCTTGCTCTTCAGGGGGGCGGGACTGCACGGCTCAGAGCACTGACAGGTGCGGGGGCCGGTGAGCGCTCTGAGGATGTTCTCCCAGCGGCTCTCTTGCTCTCTCCAGTCCAAGTCATGACCATTTGCAACAAGGTGCATTCTCACCGAGATGGGCCGGCACCCACCACCCTCTCAGGGGCCACACGAAGGCGCCACCAATCTCAGACCTTCAGCCTCCAAAACTGCAGCAACTACATAAACTTTTCCTGTTTTTTAAGTTAGCTGCCTCGGGTGTTTGTCATAGTAATGCAAACATCGACGTGTTCAAAGGCCGAATGAGTTATGTAACTTAATCCAAGTTTGGCCACCACCAGCCTATACAGAACTTTTGCTCAATTATAAAAAGCAGGGCATGCTTCCTTTTGTCATACAAACATGCTACAACATACTGAGTTTATGAAAACAAGAACCTTCACTGCCCATAAAATAGTCTGTATAAATATTCAAACTAATGCCTATGATACAAATCATGTGCACTTTAAATGTGTTTCTTTTCACAGTGCTCGGCCTACTCAGCAATGAATGACGGCCCTGACGGAGATATAATAAGTGCAGAGACAGGAATTCTGCTGTGGTGTACTGCCACTCGCCCCTGCTCTACCTGGGATTGTTCAGGAGTTTCACACAAATTACATAACCTCCAGCTGTGTGGGAGCGCTGTCTTCTTTCAGTGATGTTTTATACTCAGAGCACTCATGAAATGTATGTACATGGACACAAACTCACTGAAAACTTAGAAGGCAATGAATCTTGGATGACTGTGGAACGTTTGTTTCTCAGAGAACCCATCATCAGCACAGCCTAGACACAAACTGTTTCTTCCAAGCCTATTTTGTCTGCCAGGCAGATTGGAAACTATTCCTCAGATTAGAGTAAAATAGATAGTCTCATAGATAGGAACCAAGCACCCAAGCTGAACCTGAAGATTTATACGGAAATGATTTGAATCTGATTTCATTATTGTGTTAGGATGCTTCAGATCAACATTCAGTCAAATTCTGGAAGGTACCACAGGGGTTTCTAAAGAAAACATTTTGCCCTGTCCTAGAAGATATACTAAGCGTATGAAACGGCCTTAACACTCAGAGAAAGGCAGGAAAGGAAAAGCAAATGTCCTCAGAAAGAGCAATGGATGTGCACATGGTATTCTATTTGTCTAATCCACCTTTTTTGGGTCTCCATTATACTGCATGTTTGGTGTTAGATGGAATGTTAATATCAAAAACCCAAAAGTTGTACAAGAGAGATCTTGTCCAAGAGCCAAGGGCCCATGAGATGGAGCCCTGATCTGTTCTACACACAGGATTTCTTGGAATTTAGGCAAACAGAGCTCACAGTAATATAAGCTTTAAAATTATCTTAAAATCAACCCCTACCATCGTAGCTTGCTCACAGTAAATATGTAATTGTGCAATGACTACATAAATGAAATTTCCAGCTCACAAATTAGAGTTGGACCATAAGCTAATATCAAAATCCATTATAAAAGAAGCTGCATGAATACAAAATACTTTTAAATATCCAGAAGCCTAAGGCAATTATTACTGAGGAAAGATGCCATTTAAATACAAATCTCATGTGGATCATCTTACAGCAAAAATTTTTATGTCTGCCAGGGATATTTACTGATGTATTTGCAGCATCTCCATAACGCTATTTTTTTTTTTTTTTTTTTTTTTGATCAAGTGGAGTATTTTTGTAAATCCTAAACGTATCTCCCTAGGTGGCTTTTCGAGGACGCCCAGTGGAAGGGTCTGTAGTCATCCGCATTGCTAATCCCGCGGGTAGCCCGGGCTTGCAGAACTGCAGGCCGGAGCTCTGGAACCCGCGCAGCTGTGCACCCGCAGCCCTGATCGCTTTCAGCTCCGCAGACCGTCGAGAAAGTTCTCTCTCGGCTCCTCTGAAAGGCTGCGCCCAAAGCTTCCAGCTACACCCTAATCTTTCTGAGAAATTTTCACCATCAGCCCCAGAAAAAGAGGCTGCAGAGAGAAAAGCTCCCCACTGGCCCCTGCGAAGCGTTTCCGCCCATCCCCCTGAGAACGCTAACCATCTACTCAGGGAGAGCGGCTCCATCCTGACGCATGCAAACTGTTCGTTTCCCTTTCTTTTGTACACTTTGCGCTCCATTTTTTTCTCTCTAGTCTTTGCTTTGTCTTTACCAGTTTATCTCTAAATTACCTTAATTGCCTTGTACGCGGGTCCCCTCAAAAATTTTAAAGGGATGTACCAATAAAATCTAACTCTAAAATAAATAAAGGGAAACCAGATTCATTAGCCACAAAACGGAATCAGATTTCTTCTTGACACCCCAGGGAATAGGAAAAGCAATTTTTTTTAATCCATTCGATACCCAGTATTATTTCTATAAAGCAATCCCTTAAGTTACTCTTTTTAAATCTTCCAACTCCTTTGCACTAATAATGTGCAGAGGTAGGAAAGCCTTGATTTCTATCGTCAGTACTCGTATGTGAACAGCAGGGGACAGTAGCGCATCAAGAATTGTCGGCACCGTCCCCGGGAAACACTGGAATTGCTGTACGGGGTCTGTGCAGGGCGGTGCAATGATCTCAGCTCCCTCGGGTGAAGTCTTTTGTGTCCTACTTTACAATGCACCGTTCAGTGCTGTACGAGTTGTGACTTAGTGAGACAGTATTTCCCTGTGCCAGCTTAAGAGAAAGGGGCGGGGGTGCAAAGAGAAAAACTGAACTGCTTCGGAATGCATCGTGATAGGGAAGAAGTGACCCTACCTGCAGACGAAGTTTGTCCCTCGCCTGTTCCTATCCGGAGCTCTGTTCTTTCTAGATTAGGACTGAATCCATCCCTGGCCTCCCTGCACAAACCACGCCCATTTTGTTCCGCTTTCCCTGCCACACGGCCTTCTGTTAAAACTCAGATTTCTTTTAGAAAAGAAAAAAATATATATACACATATCTATATTTTTATGGCAAGTACTTGGTTTTTCAAAAGAATTCAAAAAAGTTCTATACTTCTTGGACTTTTCCCAAGCTCCCGAGTATAGCCGCTTACTGTGCTATGCATTTTAAACTTTAGTCAGGGTGCACTTCATTACTGTGCGTGTCGCGAGGACGCTCTTCCCTTGTAAACACAGAAGTTCAGATAAACAGCCCAGAACTGGAATCGTTACTCAGAGCTGATGGGGTTGGAGGTGGCATAAAAAGCACAAACTGAGATATTAAAGATTTTAAAACTAGACTCAAGGGTCGGTGGACCCACTCAAGGGTCAGTGGGTTTCCCAAGGTGCTTACTAACCCTCACAGTCAGAAAGTAGGGAGCTGTCTGCATAACTCAGTGGAATCCCCGCAAGCCTGCGCTGGTCACCTACCCGGGCCGGTCCTCCCAGGGTTGTCAGTGTGCTACATGGCGTGGCAGCAGTCGGAGTGCTCCAGCTTCGGGCCCCTAAACTCCTCTGAAGCGGGCAGCCGGCCACCTCCCTAGCCTGATCGGCTGCCTCCCTGTCCGGGCTTCTCGGCGCTGGGGTCCTCTCCTTGGTCCCTGCCTACCTCCCTCTGCCCACTGCACTGCTGCACTGGACAGCGCGCGCACTCTCCTGCTTCAGCCACATTGCCCAGTTTTTTTCTCTGTCAGGAACAACCTCACGTCATTTATCCAAAGGATTCATTCCTCCACCTTCTCCAAGCATGTGTGCAAAAACCACCTTCTGAGGCCTTCTCCCACCTGTGGAGCGCTCCACCCAGCATTTCCTTGTCCTCCCTTACTGTCCTCAGTAGTACTTCTCGCCATCAAATGTGCAGCATAAATTTGCAAACGTGAAACAAAGAAGCCTAGTTCAATTAGACCGCACCAGCTCTCCGTATCAGTTCTAATATGAGGGGGGAAAGTGAATAATCACGTTAATATCTTCAGGAGCCATGCTTTGCAGGAGGAGGGATGCAATATTAAATCAAATAAATTAAGTTTAAAATCCTACCATCTTTCATAACAACTGGAATACCATCCCAAATTCATGCTTTACTTTCTTTTGCTTTTACTGTAGTAATGAGATATAAAATTACGTGTAAAATCAATATGTTCTTCTTTTAGGCAATAAGCAATTATTGGGAAAAATGGAAGAAATTACCCCCATTTACACTACACTATTTTATATAAAATAGAAACGCCATGGGAATAAATTTTACAAGAAATGTGAAAAACCTGTATGAAAAAAACTTTAACAGTTTTCTGAAAGACACAAAATTGGGACTACTTGAATGGAAGGAAAAATAAACCTGCTCTTCAATAGGAAAATCCAACCTCATAAATTGATGCTAATTTTTCAAATCTATTTTTAGACAGTTAGACTTCATAGTTTAAGCAGAAAAAAAAGTAAGCAATAATATAAAACAGGAGCATCAGTACTAGCAAAGCAGCAGGCCTTTCCTTACAAGATATTGAAATCATAATCTCTATAACTAAAACTCTAAGTTTTGTGAATGTGTGGAATAATCAGTGACAAGACATAAAATATTGACCCGACTACAATGTGGAAATTTACCTGTATGATAAAAAGAGTGTCTCAAATCACGGGGAAACCGGTGTTAAAATTAAATACTGTTAGGACAAAACAGTCATTTGAAAATAGGTAAAATTGGAGATGACAACAGCCTAGACTTTTCAAAAAATGTCATCTCCAGGAAAAACAACAAAGGAAAAGCCCAGGGATTTATATATTACCAACAAACGAAAAACAAAGATACTTTGGGAATAACTGCGGAGGTTGAAAGGTATGACCTCTGCACGCAACGGCCTTAATAAGCGACGCTTCTTTCTGGACTTCGGTTCAGGGCGCCTCTGCTGCCCACTTGGCACCGCGTGGCTACACTTCTGGCCGGCAGAATCAGAGGAGGAAATCCTATTGGCATCTGCCCCAGAGGCCAGGGATGCCAGCCAACTTGCTTTTTCTTTTCTTTGGTTCTTTTTCGGTACCGGGACTCGAACTCACGACCTTGTGATTGCCAGGCAGGCGCTGTGCCTTTGAGCTAAATCCCCAGCCCCTCAACTTTCTTTTTAAAAGAAATTCTGAGGAATTTTTAAGCGCAACACATTCCTGCACACACGGCCCAAACGTCCTTCTGTTCAAAACGTCAACGGCCTGGACAGTCTCTTATTCTTGGGGGATGCATTCGCATAGGTCAGATAGCGGCAATATTTAATTGTTTCAATACTGAACGGTAAGGGCGATAAACCCTCCAGTTCACAACTAAACCCACAAGCACTGTACCAGGCCATGAAGTTAGGAGCCCAAGGCCTTGCCAAGGCGCCGGGGGTGGAGCCTGTACTATGGGAGGATCCCGAGCGGTGGGTGGAGCCTTACGGTGGGAGGAGCCTGTAGGATGGGAGGATCCCGAGCGGTGGGTGGAGCCTTACGGTGGGAGGAGCCCGCGCGGTGGGTGGGGCCTTGCAGGGCAGGGAGTGGGAGGGCGTCCTGGCGCATGCGCATCGCTGCCGGCCGCGCCCACGCCGCTAGTCTGCAGAAGTTCCCGAGCTGCGGACGCGCCAGTGTGAACCTGCCAGCCGCCGGCGCCGGTTCCAATCGCTGACCCGGGGACGGCGGCGATGCTTCGTCCGTGTGGCGCCCGGAACCCGGATCCCGCGCCGTGGCGGTCCTTGAGCGCTGCAGTGAGCAACCAC